AGTTGGACATTTTTTTGAAGCATGAGAGGAAACTAAGGTTTGGTCGTCAGTAACAGCTCGAGGTCGTTTGGACGGAAAGTTACATAGAGATGGGCCGTCCTGAGTTGTGTGTATGATCCCAAAATTGATATGGAGAAGTCGTTATCATATTCAAAGCTGCAAGGAGGTCAAACGCGTCTAAAGGGTCTGTACCAGAGAAGGGTAGTGGATCGTTACCGGAGGAGATTCTGGGTTGGAAAAGACACGTTTGCAGAATGGTCCGAAGGAGTATCAGGTTATGTAGGGGGTGCTGAACGAAAGAGCCCTTGAGGAAAGTCATGGTTATGGATCTGCATGACAAGTTTCCCCTTTGTAATTTATTCAAAAAAAGGGATGGGAAAGGGGGGGGGATGTGGAGGGATAGCTCCTAGGAGGAATGAAAGATTGTATATCCCCTCCTCCTTGCCGAGGCACACAAATGAGAGGGTGGCCAGAAATCCACCAAAAGGATGCCACTCTCTGCCACCACCACTCAGAATCAACAGGCACCCTCCAAAGATACAACCATCACCCAAAGGACACCCTGAGGCACCCCTAGAACTCTGGAGGGGGAACAGAGGATCCCCAGATGATCCAGATTCCATGGCAAACAACACACCACCACCAAGGACCTCAACGGATTATAATAGATATCAACACCCTTTCCCTCACATTTGAGCTACTGTTTCAGAGGGCAAGACCCCTAAAAGCCAAACGCAGGAAAAGGAGAGGCGTGAAGGCTTACTCAGCCCTGTAAGAACTCCAGTATTACCAAGGCTGGCTCCTCCTCAGGAAAATTAATGAATAGAAAAAGAATAAAAACTGACAAACAAACACTTTATTATTTAGAAATGAAAATATAAAATACTTAAATATGAAATATTTATCCTACTTTAAAGAAAAATGAAAAATGAAATGAGAAAAATGACATTTGAATTCAACGCTAATATGTACAAGTAAACTGGGGTGTCTGGTTGATGTTGACACCGTCTTGTAGAAATTGTAGCCGTTAATAATGATGGGGATGGGGGTCACAGATGTTGAGTGACAACCCAACGACTAGTTCTTCACAGAGTCTATAGCCTTGAATAGTCTTCCCATATGAAAGGAACGCAGGTTTTTCACCACTGCAAAAATGAGGGGTAGTGGCCTGCTGTTAACTACCAGTAATCAGGTAGGTAGATTACAAAGTGACGTCTCCTGACTTGTGCTGAGTCCGTCTCCGTCAACACTTTTTCTTTGGTTGTCAGATGACCCGAGCTGACATTCCAAGCTAGAAAAGAGACAAAGGTTACCCACTGCTTAAGAAATCACTCTCCATGATAAGTGCAAGGAACTTAAAAAAATTGGTGATTTAAAAACAACATGGAAATCAAGGCAGTAGGGAGTAAGTTTATTATTGGTCAAAAATGAAGCTTTCAACCAATATATCCACTAGAATAGGAGCAGAGGCTTTTACTTACAGTTGTGCTGGGAGCTGTGAGTCAAGTGATTACTGTTTGGCCGGAGCCCCACACGTCACCTTTCGGGGTGGAGAAAAAGGGGGGGGGATACCGGGAGCTAGACTGACTCTATCTTAACAAGCAGCCGGCAATCAAACTATCGTCACCATATATTCGCTCGATACTCCTGTCTGTTGAACTTTTCCCTCACAAGAAGGGAGGGATGGGGAAAGGACAGGGAAGAGGATTGTTGAATTATGTGATTCAGTATTTACACCAGATCCATGCGTCCCCTTAAATTTCTGTATCCATTGTTCTTCTGTAGTTCTCTCTGTCTTTCTAAGCATTATATTTATCACATCTCTGTAAAGTAATTGCAAAGAGCTACAGACCGATAGTACTAACATCCCATGACGTAAAAATCTCTGAAAGGGCTGTAAGAAGCAAGATCGTCAACTACCTAGATACCCATCATCTAAACAACCCAGGGCAACACGGTTTTAAAGCAGGTCGTGTCTGCCTGTCCCAGCTACTGGTCCATTATGACAAGGTTATGAATACATTAGAGGATAAACAAAATGCAGATGTAGTATACATAAATTTTGCAAAAGCATTCGACAAGTGCAACCACGGTGTAACAGCGCACAGAGTGCATGACAAAGGAATAACAGGAAAAGTTGGTAGATGGATCTAAAACTTCCTAACAAATGGAACACAGTTTTAGTAAACAGAGTAAAGGCTGAGGCAGCTACAGTGAGAAGCTCTGTTCCACAAGGCACAGTACTCGCTCCCATCCTAGTCCTCCTGGAGTTTACCTGGAGAGAGTTCCGGGGGTCAACGCCCCCGCGGCCCGGTCTGTGACCAGGCCTCCTTAGGTCAGTGTCCCAGGATGCGACCCACACCAGTCGACTAACACCCAGGTACCCATTTTACTGATGGGGAACATAGACAACAGGTGGAAAGAAACACGTCCAATGTTTCTACTCTGGCTGGGAATCGAACCCAGGCCCTCACCGTGTGAAGCGAGAGCGTTAACCACCAGGCCACCAGAGCCACATCTTTATATCTGACATAGACAGAGATGTAAACCGTATCTTCCTTTGCAGATAACACCCGAACTGCCATGACAGTGTCCTCTATCGATGATACCGCAAGACTCCAAGCGGACATCAACCAAATCTTTAAATAGACCGCTGAAGACAATATGAAGTTCAATGAAGAGAAATTTCAACTACTCAGATATGAAAATCTTGAGGAAATTAAGACTGTATCAGAGTATACAACAAATTCTAACCATACAATATAGCGAAAAACTAATGTGAAGGACCTGGGAGTGATAATGTGAGAATAACAATGTATCTACCTCTTCTGCTAGAAAAATTATAGGGTGGATAATTCTCTGGTCAACAGTTTTTGAAAAGTTGTTTGCTTCTTAAATGAGATTAGTTAGTTCTTATGTATTTTCATGTCCTAAATCAAAATATCACCTTGAAAAATGCTTATTGGCTATAGTGTTAAAATACGAGACATGTAATTTTTAATTATTTTATTATAACGTACAATATGTGCCAGTATGTTTTAAACTCTAATCCGTACTTACTCTCTGTCTTTTTGCTTGACGCTCATAGTGGGCTGAAGAATCATCTCTTGTCAATGTCTACAAACATTCTTGTGCCCCATTTGCCCTGGTACCATTTTTCCATGGTTGAAATATCTTAGTGAAACCTTTCACCATGTTCGTCGCTAACTGCTCCACAGTTCGCTGGAAAAAAGTCTAAATTTGTGTCCAAAAAGTGGATTTTAAGTGACATGTTACATCCCATGTTCTTGTAAGCCTTGATGAGGTTTTCCACCAATTCTTCATAGTTGCCTTCCCTTCTGTTTCCCAGAAATCCCTTCACCACTAACTTGAATGCTTCCCAAGCAGCTTTCTCCGCCCCCATGAAGGTCAGATTTAAAGTCACCATCTTTAAGAAGCTCTCGAATCTGAAGACCAATGAATACTCCCTCTCTTATCTTAGCGTCGCTCAGTGAGGGGAATTTTGATGTTAAATGCTTGAAACCCTGACCGGATTTGTCCATAGTTTTTACAAAGTATTTCATGAGCCCCAGTTTCATGTGTAGTGGTGGTAGAAAAATTTTGTTTGGTTCAATAAGAGGAGAATGTTGAACATTTTTCATCCCAGACTTCAATGACTGACGAGGTGGCCAGTCTCTTCATATGTAGTGGGAACCTCTTGCACGGCTGTCCCATTCACATAGAAAACAGCAGTACTTGGTGTATCTGCCCTGTTTGGCTAAGAAAATCACCTACCTTTCACCTCAGAATATAAACTTTATGATTGCTGGAACAATAATGAAGGGCAGTGCGACTGTGAGTGTGGTAAGAAACACACTGTCGCAGGCCTGTTGGAACATGTTGTAACACGTAAGTGTATATTGAAAAATAGAGCTAACAAACGATTTTGATAATGATATTCATTATCAGTGACCTAAAATTAGTTGGAAATTAATACTCTGGTCTCGGAGGCATTTTGGTTGTTGACCAGTGTAATGAGAACCTTCAAAACTAGGGACACCGAGCCCATGATGGTTCTCTTGAAATTCCATGTTCTCTCTAGGCTGGAATACTGCTGTACACTAACTGCCCCCTTCACGGCAGGCGAAATTGCTGACGTGGACAGTGTACAAAGAACTTTCACGGCACACATAAGTACGATAAAGCACCTAAATTACTGAGAATGGTTGAAATCTCTTAATTTGTATTTCCTGGAACGCAGGCGAGAGAGATAATATACACTTGGAAAATCCTAGAGGGATTAGTACCAAACTTGCACACGAAAATCACTCCCACGAAAGCAAAAAGACTCGGCAGGAGATGCAACATTCTCCCATTGAAAAGCAGGGGCGCCATGTGTACACTAAGAGACAACATAATAACTATCTCCCATCATACATAAGAAGGATTAGCAATAGACCCCTGGCTGTATTCAAAAAGACGCTGGACAGGCACCTAAAGTCAGTAATTGACCAGCCGGGCTGTGGTTATTACGTCAGTCTGCGTGCGGCCAGCAGTAACCGACTGATTAATTAATCAGACCCTGATCCACCACGAAGCCTGGTCTAAGAACGGGTCGCGAGGGCATTGACTCCCGAAACCCTCTCCAGGTAAACTCCAGGCAAGCTCCAGGTCCCCTACCATAATTACTCTCTCATTTGGTTCAGAGTTCCTACACACTCGCTTAACATGTCCCATTATGACCCACTTTTCGCATCCAACCCTTATTTTAATCCATATAATCCTTGAATTTATTCATACTAGTTAATAAATTAATGTCCTTAAATTTATACATAATATGATTATTATTGTTTCACAAATAATCCGCACACAGGAGACTGAAACTTCGTCACAAGTTTCAGTCTCCTATATACGGGTTATTTGTTTGTAGTTCCAGTAATGGTATTGTGCCTTTTCATTCTTTATTATAAATAATTTATTTGTTATGGTTGTTATTACTATTATTATTATTATTTCTGCAGAAAACTATCGTGTTCCGTCCGGCACAACAGTGCAATTGGTCATATACAAAATTCACCGTGACCCAGCACAGTTTCCAGATCCAGAGGTGTTTGACCCTGACCGCTTCCTGCCTGAGAACGTTAACAAGCGTCATCCCTACGCCTACATCCCCTTCAGCGCTGGACCCAGGAACTGCATTGGTAAGATCTATGCCTCTGAGCGTTAAACATCTATACCAAACCAAAGGGCCACGAGTTCGAACTCAAGGTAGACCGAGGCGTATGGGCTAATGTGCTTACAGTTGATTCACCTGTTAACATTAAACTAATTAAGTTCAAGGTTGTAGGTCACATGCTGGGGGTTGGTAATTTAACTTAGCTTACCGCACTTTCAAAGAAAATAAAGGAACAACTCCGAGTCCCCAAATTCAACTGTTTGTAGATCGGTTTACACTAGTATTTTGATTTTTAATTATGAATTAATGCGGTAGAATTACCGACAATCTGTTAGATATAACGACACAAGTGCAACTAATGTTACATTTGTTGCACTTATCTCCTTTTGCTTTTAGTTAATTTTGTAATTTACTTAAAAAAAATATAATTAAATAGGACAAAAAATCATTACAAATCTTAAATATACATATATGTACATGCATTATATATACCCATATATATATATATATATAATATATATATATATATTATATATATATATATATATATATAATATATATATATATTATATATATATATAATAAATATATAAATATATATATATATATATATTTATATATATATATAATATATATATATATTTATATATTATTATATATAATATTCAAAGG